GGGGGGGGGGAGGGGTAGAAAATGTAGGGGTCAACATAAAAGTATTTGCGACAGTTTAAAATCAACCCACTCTTCAATATTGATGCTATTTTTTGAGGCCGTTTCTTAATGTTTACGGTCAAATATTTCATGATGTCGATTGTTTAATAGGATAATGGAGGGTTAAATTATACCTTTTTAAAAATTCAAGTACATAATTTATTGATATTTTGGAAGAAAAAAAATCGAACATTTGAGCACATTCTCGAGCGTAGATATTTCTTGTTTGTTAACTATGAAATAGCTTTTTTTCCTAATGCCGTTTAAACCATTAGCGTTACTTTATGATCGTTCCTAGCTCTGACAGACGGGGGTTCTAACTGTGCAATTTTTTATTTTTCGATTGATGTGGTACATTGCCTTTTTTCTAGGTCTAAAAGTGTTAAATTCTGATAATACCTACAAGTTTTCCTGCTTTAGAAATGCGCTTTTACTCACACTGACATCTTTTTATGGAGGGAGATTTGAAATTAGGCTTACAGTCCCTTCAAATTGAAATTACGCTTCCAGTTCCTTTAAGGAACTTGTTTTCTCCTATATACCGTTCAAATCATCATTTCCGCAAATATGTTCGCCGATTTCTTCAAATTCTTCTTATGTCGTCTTTTAGATTAAAATTCCAGAAAATATACAACAAATTAGTTAACAGTAAAATTTTATTAAATAATTGTAAAATCACGTTTCTTCTGTGGACCTTTCCTTTGGGAGACATTTTAAAAACGATCCTACTTTCTTATTTATAAACCTCTCTCTCTTTATCTAATAGATAATAGCTTAATTTGCAACTAGAATTGTATTAACTGTCCCCTGCTAGGGTCCCATGTTGTCAAGGAAAACTTTTCCAAGTTTGGACTGTTTAGACATTTCTAGATGTTTTATCAATTTCAGCTTTTATTGAAGATAGCAAACTTAAAGAAACAGTGCAATAAACTTAAACAAAGATATAAAATACAATATTTTTATCAATATAGAAAAGTCTTCAAAAAACCATGAATCCAAATTAGAAAAATACTTAAACTTGATCACGAGAAAAAAATAATTGTTTTTAGATTTGTTAAAAACTTTTATTTTTTGTGTATAAAAAACTATATTTTTGTAGCACCAAAGATAAAAATAACCCCCTTACTGAGGCATAAATTTAACCCTTACTTTCGGATTAGTAAATCTATTTTTTTAAAGGAATTGAATTTTAGCCACAAACTCACTCTCAGATTTTACTAATCCCTTTATTTTTGCAACCTGACCATTCCTATTTCAAATTATAAATTATGTTAGATCAAAAAGTTTAAGTTTGAAATTTCAAAGGTTCTCACCATCAGGTTGCAAAGATAAAGGGATTGGAAAGTTTGAATTTGTCCCAAAATCTCAATTTCTTTGTCCCAACGAGAAATTTATCATTTTAGAACCAGAACCTGGCTGTATTTGAAGGTTTGCAGTATTTGTATTAATACTGCCAAGCCAATATTTCATCTTGCGAATAATAACCCGGACAACATCAATAACAACAATAATAACCCGCAAAAAGCCAATATTTCATCTTGCGAATAATAACCCGGACAACATCAATAACAACAATAATAACCCGCACAACATCAACAACAACAATAATAACCCGGACAATATCAATAACAACAATAATAACCCGGACAACATCAATAACAACAATAATTACCCGGACAACATCAATAACAACAATAACAACCCGGACAACATCAATAACAACAATAATAACTCGGACAACATCAATAACAACAATAATAACCCGGACAACATCAATAACAACAATAATAACTCGGACAACATCAATAACAACAATAATAACTCGGACAACATCAATAACAACCATAATAACCCGGACAACATCAATAACAACAATAATAACCCGCACAACATCAATAACAACAATAATAACCCGGACAACATCAATAACAACGATAATAACTCGGACAACATCAATAACAACAATAATAACCCGCACAACATCAATAACAACAATAATAACCCGGACAACATCAATAACAACAATAAAAAATAATTATAAAAATATTATTTATTTATGAAATATAACAAAAACATACAAAATTAAGTGTTTCATGAGAAAATATTTCAAAACCTCTAAAAGTAGAGGTCGTGGGAATATTTCCCCCCAATTCTAAAAAGTATAAAAATAGAAATAAAAGGAAAAGGAAAGAACAACGTAAGACGGGGTTTACAGTGCTACATACCATATATACAAGATAGAATAAAGCTAAATTAGCATCTCAATAAAACTTTGAAAAAATATTTACATTTTTTTGGCAGTGTAGTGAATTTTTTCCATGAAATAAGGGGGGGGGGACTTAGATGATTATAATTATTTCATGTTTTTTTGCCCTTTTTTCTTTCTATTACTCATATTACCCCTCGGCAACTATATATTAATCTCTCGGCTTAAGTGGGTAAATGCTTAGAACAAATATTTGCTAAAACTCAGATTATATCTGTAAACATTAAACATATCATATTTGTTAAAAGAATATATATTTGTGTATAGTTAGCTTCTGGTTGGGTTGGGTTCGGTTGACTCACACTCAACTCATGTACAATTGAATCGGAGTTGAACCAAGGTTATAACGCAGGGAACATTACTTGCAGTTGCGTATACTCTGCGTACATATTGAAACCAGTTCTCTCTGGGAGGTTAAAAGCATTAAATTTTGATAATTTTGATAATTCACATAATAGTTTCCTATAACCAGAATATGTCATCGATTTTTTATGTGAAAGATCGATCCCATGTCAGGCTTCGACACCCGTTTTGTGTTTACATTACCGCCCAGAGACAGTACACTGAAGTACAAAAGATGCGTTCTTCTCTGAAATAACTTTCTTTGCATTATAACCTTGAGTTGAACCGACCTTTACGGTCCTAGTTTGTACTGTCCGGTACAGTGAATACAGTTGGTAGGGCTAGCTGGTGCAATACGTTGACGCAATCTGGTGGGATCCTGCATCTTGTTAAATTTATCAATCACTAAAGTACAAATTTTACATTTGTAATGGGAGGTCCTGCACATGGTTTAAAAGTTGGAGAGCCCCTGCTTTAAACTAATTTTAACCCTATAAATTTATTTATTAGAATATCTTCTAACAATCTACTTGTAATATTCTGCGTAGAAAATGGATTCACTTCTTCTTCAATATTCTGCGTATGAGAATACACAGAGACAAATGAGATTAGAAGTAAGGATGACGTATTCTCAGAACTGATCATTTTAGTCTATTATTGTAAACAATAACAAAAATTGTATTATAACTGACCAGAAGCTAGTTGTATTGCCAACAATAACAGATATTGAGTTAAAACTAACAATAATGAAGATCTAAAAAAAGGCTCTGAATTCTCGAGTAGCGTGGATGTTTGGGCCTGATAAACTATTATTTTTTAAATATCGTTTAGTTCTAGACCTTCTTAGAACCCTTGTCCTCCTATCCTTAGTTTACTCCTCCTTGATACAGAAAGCGAGAATTATTGGCTAGTCTGGCTTGTTTTGGCAGGTTTAATACTTACTCTTGAAAACAGTGTATTCTGTACAAATACAAACAAACAAGGGAGATCTCACAGACTACACAGACTGCTCAGTGCTCATACACTCTACCTGGATAGGCTGAGAAGGCCAATAGTGTCCCGGCACGCCATGCGACGGTTCCATGTAATGTTTTTTTGACTAACATCTGAAGGCCAGTTCTTGCATTCAGGGGTTAAGTTTTACAACTTTCAAAGAAATACTCCAATTTAACACGAAAAATATCGTTTATGAATATTGTCTCTTTTTAAAGATTTTGCATTTCCTATTCAAAGGATCGTTAAATATCCCTGAATACAGATGTCTCCTGATTGGTCGTGTACAGTACTTGTACACAGTAGAACATGCTGTGTAAAATATTGCATATTATAGGTGTTAATCGATCTCTGTAACTCTCTTTTCTCTAGGAGATCTAGTATAAGCACAGATAAGGTAGTATAGAACCATCACTGACGCAGAGTGCCCTGCCTATCTAGCCTAAAAGAGATTTAATAAACAGTAATTGCTATATGTAATGTAGCTTTATATTTCGAGTTAATCAACCAATCGAGTTGTTGAATTTGGCGTTGTTGTATATTTCTGCCATGGGTCCTAGAATAGGGTAAGGTAGTCATACGATTTGGAATCCTGTACCCTACCTACGTCACAACACCTGTTTCCGCTCTGCTCCGTCTGGTACTGGAATATGACGTCAGAGGGTACCAATCTTCCCCGTGCCGTAACGACCGTTCATTCGTGCGCAAGCTACCTTATTACCTTATTTATACATGTATATATTTTATACACATATTTAAGTCAACACTATCAGTGAAACTTTCATGCAAAGAATATAATTTGATTAAAATTCATAATAAACTCTTTGTTATTCGAGCCCCCCCCCCCTCCCCCTCCTATCAATTTTGTACATGGATCTCATATGTAACACATGGATATAATTGGTTATGTGGCCGCAGCGCCCGGCTTAATCATACGTAACTACATAGTTCTGCGCCTTCCTTGACTGTAGATTTTATAGAGATACAATCAAGATTATAATGCAAAGAAAGTTAATTGTAGTATTGTAATAATTGTAATATTGAAACCAGTTCTCTTTGGGCGGAATTTGTAAACAAAAACAGATTCATCTGTGTTCGCTTGGTATCCGAGGAGATTAAAAGCATTATATTTTTATTGTTTTGATAATTCACATAATAGTTTCCTCTGACCAGAATATTTCATTGATTTTTTATGTGAAAGATGGATCCCATGTCAGGTTTCAACATCCGTCTTGTGTTTACATTACCGCTCAGAGACATTACACTACCGTACAAAAGATGCGTACACCTCTGAGATAACTTTCCTTGCATTATAACCTTGGATATAATCATACTTTTCTTTTTACTCCCCTCAAAATTTCATTACATGTTGGAATGCAGGGATGTAATTTGTTTAACTTTTTACGTTATCCAATTCCAATAATTTTCCATTTACAAATTAAATACATTTAAAATCCAATTATATAAAAATTCAAATAACATTTTTGTTTTTTCTACTCATATAGCATTATTTAACAAAAACAGGTTTTTAAAAATAATAATCTTTAAAAAACTAGAAATTCTCTGCCAAATTATCTACAAAAAAGTACGCAATAAAAAAGTACGCAATAAAAAAGTACGCAATAAAAAAGTACGCAATAAAAAAAGTACGCAATAAAAAAGTACGCAATAAAAAAGTACGCAATAAAAAATAAGAATCAAAGCATAATACATTTACATGATATTTTTACGAATTCGATAAAAAGTATTAGACCTCCATCTTTTCTTTTATTATTCTATGGAGTTCATCCTGGCTGCCAATATCTAAATGTCATTTTGAGAGTAAGAAAACATATTTTCCAGAGTTGAATAAAAAGTTTAATTTACCGTTCATGAACCATAGGGACACCTGCAAACTTAAAATGTATATTTCATCAATTCTAAAAAAATAGGGTTCACACATTTATTTACCAATCAATGCAACCCCTTAAAATATTTAAGCGTTCTCAGAAAAAACAATGATTTCTCGCAATTATAGTAATCCAAAGGTTGCAAGCTCTCATGCCAATTGTCATTTGCTTCTAAAAAGCTAAGTCTAAAAATAAATAATTAATAGTTAAAAAATGCCTTACTCCAATAGTTAATCCACACACAAAACTATCAAACTCTATACTCTCTACCGAGAACTGATACTTCTGTCCATCAATAAACAGAGTCTATATCCAACTAACTATATTTTAGGTCTTATGATACAGGCAAAAATGAAACTGACTGATAGATCTGTTCATGGATTAACGAACATGGGTTTATATACAAGAAACGCAATTTAGGGTTATTACTATATTTATTACAATAGGTATAAAATTTATGTGTTTTGGGTACAAGTGTGGCTAGTGATATAGAAAAAAACCAAGGCGTTTGTAAAAAAAACTTTATAAATTTTATAAATTTAGAATTTTTCTAAAAGATGAAATGATAAAAACTAGGATGGAAAGATGGCAAAGCAAAAAGTCCATTGTTTCAAATGATCTTAAAGTTAGTTCTTTTATTTCTTACAATCATAAATCAACCAAACTAGATAGATCTTGATGGTTTCACAACAAATTAATTAATAAGTCCAGAATTAGATTTTTCCTTTTATTGACATTGCTAACTCAAGTACCCAGTGAATTACAAAAAGCATCAACTGCACCAAAACGGTTTATCTGACCTATCCTCTAGTACCCTGGGGGAAAACGACTCAAATTATATGATTTCAAACAGCGGCGAATACAGGATTTAAGTCAGGAGGTGCTAGATTTATTTCGGAACAAAAAAATCCAGATTTAGGAATTAATAGACTTCCCAAAGGCAAATTTTTTTTGACTTTCCTGTTGTGCATTAGGTTTTCTTTCCCTAAAGTGCTATAATAAAGCTATTCTGAAATCTCAGGAGGGGGGGAGGGGGCTACGCCACCTCTGAATCTGTCAGGGGGGTGCGAGGGCCTGCCGCCCCCCTGTATCCACCACTGATTTCAACTTTTCCAACAAACATGGAAAACAGGATTTGTTCAGTTTACCCAAACCCATTTCACAATATGTTTATTTTTAAGCTATTAACAAAACTCTACTTTATAACGGGATTGCTTAAAATTGTTCTTCTAAATCCAGACACATGCACAAACAAACAAACAAACACACTTGAAATGCTCTTATTCTATAACTTATATTTTTTGCTACATTTGAGCTGACAAGTACTACTGGTACCCACATTTGTACTCACGCATGCAATTAACTTCAATAACGAACATTTTTTAAATTGAGAGATTTTTGTCGACTCTGTGAGGCAGTAAACAGCTAATAGCGCTCTCTTCTTCGAAACGGAAATAGAACCTCACCTTATTTGTCAAGATCAGAATCTAATAATTAATGAGGTGATGTTTGTAAAAGACTCCAGGTGGATCCTGATTTATGGAAAACCGTCCTAGCTCTGCCAATCCACCATCATTTAGGGTCTGATACCAGTACTAGTATACATAAACATTGCCAATTCAGTTCTCATCCAAGAATGTCAATAAAACCACTGAAAGGTCAGACATGAACAACAAATAGATTTCTCGGGTTTATGAGGCGTGCAATAGTTTTGTGAAGAAAGTTTTCCATAAATTTCTTTTCAAATATCTCAAGAAAGCTCTTGAGAAGTCACTGATTCGGAAATTCTTAATAAAACCCAAGGAAAACTAACTTTTTCGAGGACAAGGAGAACAAAGGTCACTGAGACAAGTTTTCTCAAAACTATCGCTTGGTTATAATATTTCATATTTCCAGAATTAATAATCCCCCCCTGCAATATTAAGTTTCTTCTTTTTGGATTCAATCACGTTTGGTCTATAATTCAATAATCTTTAAAGGCAAAAATTGGGAAATTGCAAATTTGGGAAGTTGCCACTTGGGAAATTGTCACTTGAGAAGTTGCTTTTGGCAAAAATACCTAACACAAAAGCAATATGGGGCGATCTATTGTATACAACACTTAAACGCGTTTTTAACTGAATCATTTTCTTGCTTTCATTGAAAATTTTTCCTTTTTATGACTCTTAAAGTTGTGTGAATTGATAATGAAAAGTTGTATTATGCAGAAACTCGAAAAATAAATGCCACGAGTGCAGTGGTGCATATCTATTGTTATCTATAATAAAACCAGTTTATACTTGCCAACACTTCATACTCTCCTCTCATCACACTACACCGCAAACACTTTACAAGGAGCGCAACGTTGGGGTGGGATAGTGGGGGGAGGGGGTGTACACAAAGTTGGGTTTTATTGAATGGCCAGGATTAGAGGGTCTAAATGGAGGGCCACTAAAAATTACAACGGTCTGTAAAATAGTTGACTCCTGCCCAGCTGTGTACGACCTAAATCTAAATTGACAAGTACAGTTCGACAATCAACTCTGATTGGCTTATTGCTTGCTCCTCATTGCTTATTGCTTGCTTCTAATTGGCCAGAAATTTATCTATCCTCTTTAAAATCGTGAACGAGTAGTGCCGGAAATATTTTTTGTTGATGATAGGAAATAATGGAATTTTGGAATATTGTTTTTGGACTTATAAAAAGCATTTGATAATTATGTTTTTTCGCATAAACTCACTTCAATCTAGACAAAAGGAACACAAACATGCTGTTACAAATTT